ACAGGAAGATTGACGTTCAGCTCTCTGCAACCCCTTCCCTCACAAGGTCATAAAAACAGCATGGAGAACTACCACACTGTCTATACTGTATAAAGGAGTAATGAAGGAATACACTGTGGCATTTTCAGTTGATGCATGCATCACAAAATCATTAGTCAGCAGCTCACTGCCATTATCTTTTCTGTAAAACAACACATTGAGATGATAACTATATTCAAAATCCTGTGTCATGTCATGTTTAAATAAAGGTTTTGATTTGGAGTCTGTCTATTCTTATTATTACTGCCTGTTATCAAAGTAGATATATGATATATGAAGTTTTATAACTAGGTTCGGAAACAAAGACCACGCCCGTTCACTCCCTCCCCCCAAACCCTTTCTTTTTCTTTCCCTCTCTTATCCAAATATAGGAACCACTGGGGTTCTCTACAAGTGATATGAAGAGACAGCTCCCCCACCCAGTCTCACAACCCACTCAGTGCCCTCTTACCGTCTCGCTGAACCCCTCCATCCATTTATCCATCCGCCAACAAACCTTCATCCCTCAAACTTCATCCGTCGACCTTCATCCCTTTATCCCTCAACCCCTACCCTCATCCCTCAACCCTCATCCCTTCATCCCTCATCCCTCCGTCCCTTCATCCCTCAACCCTTTCCCCTCATCCCTCAGTATACCACATCGGTTCACATCCGTTCATTATGTGCAATAGACTTTTCTTATTTCATAAATTCAATGGGGTGGTTGTTTTTAGTGAAGCTTCATGGGAGTTGAACCTGCTGTTGTCTCGCTGTGTCTTAACGTCGTGCAGCCTGAAGTGTAAAATGTTCTTTCCCATAGGCTGGGCCTATTTGTTAGAATTAAATTTAAAAGATGTATGACTTGAAATAAATGACATTTTTATTTAACTGCTCATTACAGAAACATCTGTGGCTTTGCCACTGTGCATTTAAGTCATTTAAACAAAGGCATGCACTTTGTAAACACTGTGTGCAAAAATGTACAGTCTTAAGAAAAAAATAATTTAAAATTATATGTATCTTACTGCTCCCAAGTCAGTAACATTTCAGACAACAAAACAGAATTTGCCTCTACTACTTAGAAAATATTTTGTAAAATCAAAGTAAATAAAGTTATAAATAAAAAACGGAGAAATGCACTTTTAAATTAGACAATAAAAAAAACAATTTGAATATTATAATATAGATCAACCTCACTTATCTCAAGTACACAACAATAACACACCACACAGACTAAAGTTCACTATGAGTATGGCACTGCCAGCCATAATGATCCAACAGTTTTGTTCTCAGTGGCTCACAGGTTTTTTGCTAAGAAAACCAGCATATTGACTTTTGCTGGCTTCAAGGATGAGCGAGTGCAAGTCACAATATTCCCTCCTGTGCTAAAAAGACGCTCTGAGGGAGCGCTCGTGGCAGGTACACAAGATACTTGCGGGCCATGGTGCACAACTGTGGGTAGCTGATCTTGTGAACCCTCCACCAAGCCAAGGGATCATCTTCTCCATCAATGGCAGGAGTCATCAGGTAATAGTTTACCTCTGCCTCTGCGACATCTTCAAGTTTTACAGGCAAAGAAGGAGAGGCTGCACTGGTCTTGAAAAAACTGCCAGTACGAGACCTCTTCGCCTTTTCCCCCAAGGGCTGTGCACTTTGAGGCATCTGAACAGTTTCAGTACGAGACCTCTTCTCCTATTAGATGAAAAAAACAGCCATTAGTTTTCCAGTTAGATTTTACAGAAAAATTGTGTTTTTGTGAAATACATAATTATCATTTACCCGATGATATGTACGTCTAGGGAGCGTGCATATCGATCACCAGACGATACCTGAGAAATGGCTTTGGCCTGTTCAAGCACTCTGGCAATCATCATTTCTTTAGATCCCCATCTTGTTGGGCACTCAGTTATGAGGTTGTGCTCAGGGAGTTTGAGCTCCCTCTGTGCCTCCGTCAGTGCTGCCTTCTTCTTCCAACTTAGGGAAAAGTGCCCCACCAGCTTCCTGCACAGTGCTGTTGCCCTTGACACTGTCATCTTTGAGTGCATTTTCTGAAAGAAATAAAAAGTAGTGTATTACACACAATTGAGTTTTGTGATACAAGGCTAGCACTGTTACACACTCACATTCTCTGTAATTCTGAAATACACACATCCACACCCCTGTCTCTCTCTCTCTCTCTCTCTCTCACACACACACACACACACACACACACACACACACACATGATAACTGTAAACACATAAACAGTTTGTGTGTGTGTGTGTTTTGTGTGTGTGTGTCTATTTCGAACATGTAAAAAACAAAAACAGACAAAAAAAGAAAATAAATGCAGGTGGGCATTCCACCACAGACAGACATATAAGCACGTAAAATCAAAACATAATATTTCAATTTACATATTAGAAAAGGAGTGGGAGGAAGTATGAATTTATTTAATCCCATCCACTTTCCACAACTCAACATAATTTATATATTTGTATATTCAGCTTCCAGATTACTAATCAATGCATCTCTCTCTCTTTTGCACACACTAACACACACACACACACACACACACACACACACACACACACAACAAGATAATTTACCAATGGCAAGATGTAATCTGTGCCCAAAACACTGGAGCCTCGTCCATTCATTAAGCCGTGCAGCCAGCACCATATTTGACGCAGACGTGTTTCTCCTCGTGGAGATCCCAGCTGGCAAGCCCCTCTCTCAGGCCGGCTGCAATATTTTCCCCTGTGTGGTCATCTGGGAAGTAGGTAGTTTGTAGGCAGCGAGCTCTGAGGTTGAAATCTTCATCAATAAAATGGACTGTAAGACTCCAGTAAGGCTCAGTTGTGCGGCTTGACCACATATCAGTAGTGGTAGCAAAAAACTCCACCGTTTTAAGCTCCACGGCAACTTTCTCTTTGCACTTTTTGTACAGCTCCGGTATGGCAGTCTGACTGAAGTATGTACGGGAGGGTATACTGTACTGTTTATCAAGCGTATCTATCAATGCCATGAACCCAGGCTTGGTCACCGTGCTGAGAGGCATCATATCTTTGGCTATGAACTCGGTTATTGCCCAAGTGATTTCCCCGTGCCGTTTGGAATTACGTTATATGGAGTGGTGCTTTCAAACATTTTGGTCAGTGATCCCTGTCTTGAGGTATTTGGCTCGTCTGGCGCACTGGTGCTCGGCATTTTGGCCATACAACTGTCATACATTGATTTGTGGTATTTTTTTAAGTGCTGGAACAAGTTTGTAGCGTTACCCCGTGAAGTAGCAACAGGAGCACGGCATGCTCTGCACAACACCTGACGCTGCGCAGCATCTTCTTTTTTGAAACCAAAATAGTTCCACACCACCGACGTGCTGTTCCTCTTCGAGACTAAAGTCTCAGCTGTGTAAGTTTCTGACTGTTCCGTCGAGCCGGAGGCCATTGTGCAACAGGTTAAAGGTCAGCATGAAAAGTTGATGCAGCCGAGTTCTCCACTCTTTCACTCGCGTCACGTGACCACCTTGTAATCGCGCAAGTTGCGGGTAGAAAATCTCGTTTTATCATATTGCGATATTATCGCAAATGCAATTAATCGTTCAGCCCTATTCTGAAGTAGTCACAATGTACTTGAGATTAGCACACACCATTATCGTCCATCAAAAATGGACCTACAAAAGAAGACAATGGACAATTTTTATATTTTTTGAAAGCAATTTTGCAGGGAGTACTGAAACAGGAAGGAGCAGTTACAGTAAACATTTAGATCTGAACTGCACACCTCCAACTTCTCAGCACAGTAACCCACTCCTTTCACTGGACCCTGCTGTTTGCACTACCATGTGCAACATTAGATAAGATCACGTTGCTCACAGAATGATCGAAAAAGGCCAATTATTACCAGACTTCTGTATTAAAACAACAATAGTTTGTTTTGTTGTGCACAGAATTCTGGGACCTGTAGTATTAAACCTCATTTGCTTTCAGGCCTACCACCAGTTCCTAGGTGTCGACAAATCAACCAGGTCTGAAATCTTAAGGGTTGTAATTTGAAGTGTTATACTTTACCAGAGGAACTGTGCCACTCTTTGAGACTAGTTCTATAATTCTCAGTCACTAATTTCATGATACAACACAAAAATACAACACATTTGTTAAAATAAATTTGAACATATTGAGATCCAGTTTTTCTTTTAAAACATAAAGGCCTTTGTTGTGCATGATTATGATGCAGAGAGCTTAAGGCCCAGCTTCCTCTTATTGCTCTCATTAGTGATACAGATACCTCACTGATACAGACAGTGCTGTTTACAACAGTGGAACAATGGACAGGTGTGTACATTTTCAGATTTATAGATACTTAATAATCATAATCAGGTTTAATGTACACTGTGTTTCTGAATCAGACATTTATCATATGATCACATATAGACATACTACGATATCAATAACATGTAATTTCGCACTGATGGACTGTATGCTATTTCAAAGCCTTTTAAAGAAAATGGCTTTTGTTTTCTCTGTTTCAGAGGAAATTCTGCCAGTATCAACTACTTCCTTGAAGATTCTTTAATTAGAAAGCTTTGATCTAACAGGTCTCTAGGTTTCAGTTATGCTCAGACCACACTGTGCTCTCTCTTCCTGTCAAATAAGGGATGTGTACCTCACTCGCCCCTCCACTGCTGACGACATGCTTCTTGATTTCACTGAGCACCGCTGTGTCACGCTTGGGCCTCGATGTGGCCACTGTGGCGGATTGTCATCGTTCTAGACAATCTTTGTGATTCTACCAGAGGCTCCATAGAGTGTTTCAGAAGCGGACCTAGACTGTGACAAAAACATACTAAGAATTGAAGCATATGCAGTATGAAGATGCTTGTAAATAAGTTTTTATTGCTGTTAGAAACAAGGCATACAAAGCTCTAAAGCACATTCATATGATACAGCATCAGCTCCAGTTGAGTCTATCTAGTGGCAGCATAAATAACATTTGGCTCCGGCTCTCTTCTTTTAGTTTTTGGTCGAAATGCCACTGCTGCATAGTTCACGTCATCAGAGCCTGCATTCTGTGAAAAGAGTATTTACATGTGGTGACTTGACATTATTTTAACTCCCCTATAGCCAGAACAATACTGGACTTTTGGGGCAGATATCAATATTAATATTTGGTCAATAGATACAATGAACAATTGTAATAAAGATATTAGCCGAGTCAATATAGCCCTGGCTGTTTTTCATCGGGCTTTATCAAACAGTCTATATGAGTAATTGTTCAAATTAGATTCACCTCTATTTGCTCTGGATTCTGTCCTTCTTTATCAGCTAAGTGACAGAAACAAAACATCTGGTCAGTTCATTGATCATTGTCTTTGGTAAACCAGGAGTTTAGCGTTTTTCCAGTACATTGACACAACTTTAAGAGCATTTCCACAAGCAACAAAACCAAATGTAAGATAGACAAAGTACCTGTCTGAAGTTTCCTGTTTTTAACAACCAGACCTATGATGACCATTACAAGGACAACAGTCAGACCACCGAGCACGACAATCATCAGCTCTGCTGTTCCATCAGACTCTTCTACAACCAAGATTATTACGTTAGACTCTATTTCCCCTTCAGAGACTTGAGACTGGGTTGAAATTACAATGGATTAAACTGAATTTAGTTAAACTGTTTCACCTTCAAATGTTTGTTAATCTGCACAATGAAAGAAATCTTACTTTTACACTTGCTGTCCATGTCATCATGTGGCCCATCTCTGCCTTCTATAGAAATCAGGATAAATTTAATTGTATCCTTTTGGCAGATTTTCCTTACAATTACATTTTCTCAGTGTTTAAATTGCCACTATGAAGCATCTGTTGTTAGAAGATAGTTGTGAATACAGTATATAGCATGTAAATGATCAAAAAAAACAAAAAAAATAAAAAAACACAGCTTTACAATGAGCTTACCTTTAACATGCAAATGTATCACACTGAAATTTGGACGTCCACTTTCGTAAATCCACAAAATAAAGTCCAGAGTCAGATAATTCCAAATGTTTGATCTTGAGAAAGACAGTGGAGATGTTGGATGTCATTTCATATTTTTCCTTTGAAAATCCGTCGCAGTACACAACAGCGTTATCTGAGGTTATTTTAACAGTGATACAGCTGGCCTTGGTTCCGTTGACCAGTTTGACCCAGAATGTCACAGAGTCGTATTTGGACATGTTGGTACTCAGCAGTCTGACTTCTTCACCAACCTGAGCCTCCACAGTCTGAGACTCAGAACCTGAGACAGAGATCCAGCCTGAAACACACAAGATTTACTTTCAATGAGACAAAAGAACATGAACAATAACTCTTACATAACTCAATACTTTCAGTCCTGGTTAGTTAGAGCTACCAAAGTTATAAATGTAATTCAATGCCAGTACTCACTGAAGCTGCAGAGACTTAAAGCTGTTATCAAGGTAAAGTTCTTCATGGTGAGTGTGACTGAAGCTCTGCAATGTCCACAATGAAGTGTGCTTCAGTAAGGCTGCTTTCTACATAAAGAGGCGGGCTGTTTGTAGTTGCTCATCCTGTTCCTCAAACTGACCACATACACGCTTTCAGGAAAAGAAGTGTTGATGCAGAATGTTAGCTGTTCTAAGTTATACTTCAGACCATGTTATCTGACAGTACTTTACTAACAGACATTGATATTATGTAATGACACAACCTTAATGTAATCCCCTTATCTAAAACAACAGATGCACAGAACTATTGTTAGTCTTTACCATAGAAATTACTTCAATCATCAACTCAGCTCATGTTGGAAATTCATACTGCTTAAAATATTTTCTGGACAGAAAAACATCATGTAAGCTACTAATGTTGAGATAAGAGTTATCATTCATTATGGTGACAAAATAAAATGCACATCAAATCCAGTGAGAATCAACAACACTTTTCTTACCCCAATGGATGGAACAGGTCTAACAAATTAGGAGGATTTATTGGCAGAAATCATCCACCATGTCAGTCCGCCATCTTGAGCGTCCCTGTTTTTACAGTAGCCCAGAAAAGATAAAGCAAAAGAAAAAAAAAGGTTCTATATAGGGCCTTTTGGGGTTCTCTCAAGTTTTGTGCCCACCGTAGTTTCTCCTATATGCTTGGAAGGCAAGCAGTTTTCATCACCATTCATCACCAGTGAACCAAATGGACATTTCTGCACAGGGAAGAAGGATATTTTGTTCATCAAATAATTTGTACCTATATCTTCAGTTCCCTGGCAACTTTTCTAAGCAGGCTCCTCTTGCTCTCCAGTCCAACGGCTCTCTGCCTGACCCCTCCTGCCCTAGTCTCCTGCCTGAGGTCTCTTGCGTTTCCGCTGTCCGGTCCAGTCAGCCTTAAGTTTCTATTACACCGATGTCCAGTGTCAGGGCTACCAGCCTCAGCTTTCCTTGGCTGCTGATCTCTATTATCCAGGCCACCCATCTCATTTGTTCTTCCCTCAGCTCAACGTCTGTTGTCAGTGTTGTGTACTTGCGTTCCAACTACCTGTACATTTTCCTGATTTTCTGCCTTTTATCTGTTACCTGCATTTTGACCTGCTGCCTGTTTATGACCTGCCTGCCTGCTTTGCCTTTCTGGATTTGTCTGCTTCTTAGGACTACCTTCTCGTGCCTGACTGTAAACCTGTTTATTTTAACATTGGTTAAGTAAAATCCTTTTTCCTCAATATGTTCTGCATCAGTCTCTGCATTTGGGTCCCAATCCTATTTCCTTGTACACACATCTGTGAAACATGTAGCATATCATTTAAAACACATTATGATATCAGAGTTGAAATATGAAGTTTTGAGTTTGATGTACATTTTCTTTTCCAAAACTTCCATACAGTTTTAAAGGCATGAATTTTCTCACCAAGTGTTTTCTGTGTACTTTCAGATTTTGTTTTTAGAAACCTTTGATCTAACAGGCCTCATGATCTTAGACTTTAGACTTTATTTGTCATTTGGATTTGCATCAAAATGAAATTACATTACAATGGCACATAGCACAACAGGAATAAAGGAGAGGCAGTATGCACAGTCAAAAAAATAAAAATTAAAGTAGATATGCAAATATAAAACCTTTATATAAAAAAACCTGGATGATATATATTTTACAATTTTAGTTGCCTATGTAAAATAACTTTTGTATATAATACAAATAAGAAAAATACGATAAATATATCTTTTGTATAAAAAACAGATTAAAATAACGCAATATAAAGATAATAATAAAGATAAATATAAGATAGCTAAGATAACGTAACGTGCAATAAACCAATCAGAGCGTCATCTCACATTCCCTTTAAAAGCAGGTGCGATTGTTCCATGGCGGATTGCTATTATAATGGCGGATTTGCCAGGCGCACGCCAGGAGCGGTTCACAGCCGAGGAGACCGACGGAGAACTGGCGCTTATAGACAGAAAGTAGACACACTTTAAATATTCTATTTTCCACTTAGAGGGCTTTATTTATCATCAAAAGATGCTTTTATGTTAATCTAAGGAGGGATACATATAGCTGAATTTAAGGATCATTTATTGATTGATCATTTAGTTTATAAAATGTCAGAAAGTGCAGCTCAAGTTCCCAGAACCCGAGGTGACGTTTTTAAAATCTGTTTTTCTTTCCAAAACACAAATGATATGAAAAGCAGCAAATCCTCACATCTGAGAGGCCGGATGTACGTATAGTTTGACTTTAAACAATTATTTTAATCTGCTAATTAATGTGCACACGCTACATTATGGCCAAGCATGCGCCCTTAAAATAGCATCTGAATAAGCGCCACTGACTTTAGACTAGGTTTTTCCTGGTCTGTTGCGGAATTGTTTTCTGAAACAGCAAAATAGCACCAGGGAACGTTTGCGCCGGAAAACACGCCTCCTCTTTTCGCTGAACCGCCCCCCGGGAGCGCAAATTCATTCCCTAATTTAAGGACGTGCGTCTGTGGAGGGAAAATTCCAATGTGCGTCGAATGCAAAATAGAAATTGTACAAGAGACAGTGTACAAAGTCAGAGATATAGCCCTATGTCTATCTAATGTTAGCTGACTCTGCCTCATGGTGCTAGGAGCCAAACCTGGCAAGAAAACCACTTTGATACAGTATTTCCTGTTGTAGGGCTTAAATTGTTTATGGAGTATAACCACTTATTTTACAGTTGGCATGGTATATACCGACTCACAAATTCCCTCTACATCATTCAGGAATATTCTGCAAGCTGAAATTTCATGGGTTGATGGAGTAAGGATTAAGGAATATTTCACTAAAAATGCACACTTTTATGTCCCACCTTTCTGTGGGCCAATACTGCAAAATCTGTTCCTCTTCTGTGGCTAATGTTCATTTTATAATAATCCTTACACCCTGAAGTCAAGCATCAGAAGTTAAGTGACAATGTACAAATACTGCTAACCCATTTTGGGGTGAACTAAATATCCGCTTAAGAAAAACAGCAACAAAACACTGGGGCATAAATTAAGAATATGCCCACTCCTCCAGACTGGTTGTAATGTTACAAAATCGTGTTGTACGTTAAACTTTAACATTGAAGGTGAGCACAGAGAAACTGTCCTTCAGCAGATGAACGTGAAAACAATCTCAACATGCATCATTCTGTCCTGCAGTGAAGATCAGACATCTAACTATAACATTTAACAAAACACATATAATTTACTGCTTTAGAGCGGAATAGTTTGGTAGACAGAGGTCTGTAGTGCCTCCTGGAGGAGACAAGATAAAATATATGGTGAACAGAAGTCAGATGTGATTTCAGTATGCCCTTTAGTAAGCCCTTTTGGTTATACATACCTTTACAGTGCGCGAAGAGGGAGATGATGATATTGAAGGATCAACTGATTACACATGCAGAGGAAGAATGGCAGTGTGCACATGCACAATGTCTCCACTGGGTCTAAATACAGCTTCAGTCATGTAAATAAGTTTGCTAAAGACATAGTAGAGGCAGACTGTATCAGTAACAATGATACAAAAACCTCTGTGCTGACAGTCAGGGGCACAAAGGTGCTGGTAGTCCTGGAACACCACCCCCCATGACTTGCTGATTTGATTACTGATTTATTATTGTGTTGTTCATGTTTTGCTGTCTGTGCACCTCGGCTCCAGAGAGGAACAACTTGTCGTTCTAATGGCATATTTGAATACAGTTCAATAACAACAAACTTGCAGGTGATTTTTACTGTCTGAGCTGCTGTATCAGACTGTTATCTTCCATGATGGCTGTATAAAACTGTATAAATGGCAGAATAATTGTAACTTGATGCCGTCTGAAATTCTTTGAGGCATATTTTTGTTTCAAACAGCATCAGCAACAGATATTTGGTGGTGAATGATTTGAGCTTCTTTTCATCAACTATATGATCCGCCCCTTTCCACTGATATAAAGTGCTCTTGCTGTGACACGGTTATACGCACAATGAAGAGCTTCACCTTAATAACAGCTTTACTTCTCTGCAGCCTCAGTAAGTACTGCTATTGAATTATTATGCAAGGAGTTACAATTCTAACCTCTCTTTTGTCCAGTATGTTGTTGGTTTATCAGCTGAGGAGTGAATCTGATGTTGTCTGTGCTGTGTGTTTCAGGCTGGATCTCTGTCTCAGGTTCTGAGTCTCAGACTGTGGAGGTTCAGCCTGGAGAAAATGTCACACTGCTGTGCTCCAACATTTCCACAAGTCCAACTCAGACAGACTGGTTCAGAGTGACCAACAGAACCAAACCCAGCTGTATCTCCTCTATGTACAGATCTGATAAAGACATTTCATTCTGTGATGGATTTCAAAATGGAAAATTTAAAATGAGCTCCAACGTCTCCACTGTTATTCTTCAAATCAAGCGAGTGAATTTCTCTGACTCTGGACTGTATTTCTGTGGATTTTACATAGATGCACACACCGTCATTTCCACTGCAACATATGTAAATGTTAAAGGTAAGTTTGTAGTTAAGTCTTACCTCTTTTAAATATCTACTTATCCTATCATATTTACGGTATATCTCAAACATACTGTCACAGTATGAAAGCAGCATAAAGTCAAACAAGAAACCAAAAGACTTCATATGTTTTGATCGTCTTTTAAAGGTGATGGTGAATCTGATGATGAACTGGATTTTCACACTCACAGTAAGGTTCTACTTTCCTCTGTTAAGATTATTTTCTGTTACCATAGAGCCATTCGTTTAGATCACAGAT